CAGCCATCCCGCGGGTGTGGCCCCCGGGCAGATTTACACCGGAGCAAGCCGGTCCCAGGGCTCCGAGCTTGGTTTTGTTTCAACTCTGAATGCAAGTAAGAAAAGAGGAGACCTGCTCAACTGGCAGTGAGGGGCGCGCCTGGGCTGTTTACAAACCCTCTTCTGCCCGATTCTCCGGCCGCTAGAGGAGGTAACTGGCTGCTCTGGCAGAGGCCTCGCTCTCTCCCCCTGAGAAACCTTCCCAACAGCCAGGAGAAGGAAGAGGGAGCCATTTCCCCTCTCTGCTGCAGCGGGGCCCTGGCTACAGTGACGCCCCCCGGAGTCCCTTAACCCTGTTCCAATCCCACTGGCTCCTCTCCCACTCTTGTTCCTCAGCCTTGTTCCCTGGCAACTAGGGACCTTCCTTCTGAGCAGTCAGCAAAACCAGGCCCAGGTCTGATGCCAAATCAGAGCTCACAGCTCCACCTCAGCCCTCCCGCATCCAGGCCTGGGCCTGCAGTGCTCCCACACTGAGCCTGTGGGGTTACCTGCCTGAGCCAGGCAGATGTGGGGGATTGCAGGGCGGTGTCTGAGGACTCTGAGGCTCCCTAGGCACCAGCACATGGAGCTATTCCAAAGGAAACCTGAGTGTGCAGCCATCAGAGCCCCAAGGCTAATACACCAGCCTCCCTGGCTGCCCCGCACGCCCTGCCCCAGCCCCACCACAGGGAGGTCACACACAGGCTGAGTCTGTTGCTTCACTCAGCAATTCCTCGGAAGCCTCATTCCGCATTTGGTTAGCCCCGGGCGCCTGGCAACTGAGCAGCCCCGCCCCGGGCGCCTGGCAACTGAGCAGCCCCGCCCCGGGCGCCTGGCAACTGAGCAGCCCCGCCCCGGGCGCCTGGCAACTGAGCAGCCCCGCCCCGGGCGCCTGGCAACTGAGCAGCCCCGCCCCGGGCGCCTGGCAACTGAGCAGCCCCGCCCCGGGCGCCTGGCAACTGAGCAGCCCCGCCCCGGGCGCCTGGCAACTGAGCAGCCCCGCCCCGGGCGCCTGGCAACTGAGCAGCCCCGCCCCGGGCGCCTGGCAACTGAGCAGCCCCGCCCCGGGCGCCTGGCAACTGAGCAGCCCCGCCCCGGGCGCCTGGCAACTGAGCAGCCCCGCCCCGGGCGCCTGGCAACTGAGCAGCCCCGCCCCGGGCGCCTGGCAACTGAGCAGCCCCGCCCCGGGCGCCTGGCAACTGAGCAGCCCCGCCCCGGGCGCCTGGCAACTGAGCAGCCCCGCCCCGGGCGCCTGGCAACTGAGCAGCCCCGCCCCGGGCGCCTGGCAACTGAGCAGCCCCGCCCCGGGCGCCTGGCAACTGAGCAGCCCCGCCCCGGGCGCCTGGCAACTGAGCAGCCCCGCCCCGGGCGCCTGGCAACTGAGCAGCCCCGCCCCGGGCGCCTGGCAGCCACGAAAGGTTGGGGACCACTGACCTAGAAAATATTCCACCAAATAGCCACTTCCCACCCTGCCCTGGAGGGCTCCTTTAGTTCTCACCCCCATTATTTGGACTAAGGGCAGCTGGGCGAGAGCAGCTTGGGCCCCTACGTCAGCATCCAGTCCTGCTGCAGCACCTGCTGGTTGCCATGGAGATGATTATGACAGGCAGCAGCAGCCGCAGGCACAGCCGAGCTGTCGGGAGGGAGGGATGAAGAAACTGGGGGAGGTGTCCTGGGGCCCCCAGGGACGCATGAGCCACTGGCTATTGTCCAGACCCGCGCGGACCAACCATCCCTTCCCTTCGCCTTTGGAGCAGCCCCGCTTTGGTCACCCCTCCCTCTTCCCTGGCTCTCTTTTACCATCTAGACGGGCCCAGCCTTGCGGGTCTGTCAGCTTCTACAGCAGCTTCCCCACACAACGACTGTGTCAGCAGCCAGGTGTGCAGCACTTTCCTCTGCCTTACGCAACCTGCTCACCGGCAAATGGTTCCCCTCTCGCGTAAGCTGGCGCAGATCTGGAACTAGTGCAGCAAAGCCACCAGCGCTAGCCTAAGGTACAAGGGCTGAGGGAAGAAGCCCTTGTACCTGTGGTGCACAATGAGCTGATGTCACTACACAGTGGATTAATGCTGTTGTGAGTAGCACACCCAGCGTCAGGGGAAAGCCCAGGCAAAAAGATGAATCCCTGAATGGCAAACCAACGCCCCCAGCTCCTACATCTGCACCTTCCACTGGGGCTTCCCATTTTATTTTCCCTTTACCCCAATAGCTCTTGGCTGGTAACCCTACGCACAGGGCCGAGGGTGAAAGCTCGCACCCTCCAGCCTGCTCTTTCTGGGCCTTGCTCTTTAGTCATGGCACCTACACCAAGGGGGGGTCATTGCTGGACTTTTTTATTGCTATTTTCAACACAACTTTGGAATTGCGACTTGGTCCTCCTACCCGACACCCCCATTCCTGAGGCAAGGTGGGCTCTGGCAGCTGTAAGATGGACAGGGAAATGCTGGAAGAAGAGAACCCTAGGTCTGGAAGCTGGGCTGGCCTGCAGGAGGGGAACAGCCCAAACTACAACAAACTGACAAGCTCAGCAAGATAGAATTGCTAAAGGCACGCACATGCGTGCAGAACCGTGCCACGGTGTCACTGTTTCTTCTTCACTTAGCTGCTTGCTGCATGAAGCTGATTCCTGCCACTAGAAGAGCCGTTTGGAATAGCAGGTTTTGCCCCATGAAATACAGCTGCTGAGTGGCTCTCTCTGCTGTCTTCGGGGCAGGCCCTGCCTTCAGGTGCCCTCCGAGGTAAAGGGAGGGTGGGAAACACCAGACACGCTCCTCACATCCTCAGGAAGAGCGAAAGAGCTGCCGCCGGAAGCAGCGCATTATTAGTTCTTTCCATTTCTGTTTTATTCCCCGCTAGGCCCATATAAACTGTCACAGTGATACCTGGTATTAGCAGACTAGAACACATGCTTGTCTGGTATTGGCGCCAGGTGAATTTGGTCCATGGAAGAAATGAGGACGTGTTTCTTTTGGCCTTGTATGTGGCTGCCACAGCCCAGGCCAACAATGACTTCCTCTGCTCTGGACAATCCCTGCTTTCACAGTGGTGGGGACAGGCAGGTCACGTGTAGGATGCCAGCTGGATGATGGAGCAGAGATTTAGCGCACTAAGACCGAACATCTCCCGGTGGACATGATCGTAAGTTCACCCCAGGCCCCGTCCGAAGGTGCCCAACTCAGAGGACTGCAGCCTGCCCACAAAGCTTACTGAGTTCATGGAAGCGTGAAATCGATGGCACTGAACAATCAAGCATTTTCGGGGAGAGACAATGGAAGCGCATCATGTGATCATTCCAGATGGCTGCTCCATTGGAATTTGCTGGTGGGTTTCCTACAGAGGCAGCTCCTCACACGTGGAACGTTCTTTGTGCATGAAGCCGCTGCTTGACTATGGCTGTGGCTTAACACAGCCCTGTGCCTCCCTGCCCCGGGGAGGGCACTGCGCAGCCTCATCTGGTACCTTTGGGTGACACTGAAGCCTTCTCCGAGGTCAAGTAGCATCTGCAATGGGAGGGAGGGATGTGGCATGGAGGCATTTCTCTCTGCTCACCCCTCAGTACAGAGTGCGTAGGGAGGGCTCGTTTCCCAGTCCACCCCGGCAAACACTAGGAATGCTCCAGCTGACAGCCCTGGAACTGTGGAACACTAATCAGGGACGGGGCCATTGTACCCACACCAGCTGCATACACGGATAAAGACTGAGTCGACTGTGCGTCAGCACACAGTCCTGCCAGCTGACACGGCCAGGCCCGGGCTTTCTTTGCTCTGCGTCCCTTGCGTGTTACTCACCCTTAATCATCAGCCTCCAAGCCAGATTCTACTCTCAGCGAAACCCGGAGCAATGCCGTTAGCTCTAGCAAGGCCACTGAGAACTGCGGCCCATTGTCCATGGCCCAGCCCAGGTACAGGGGGTCCTGTTTGGCTGCCCGTGCATGTGGACACCAGCCCCGGGAACTATACTCACTTCAGATGAACAGAGCTTTGAGAAGCAGATGTGGGATTTCAGGCTCCTGCTGCTATTCCTGTGCATCAAACAACCAGCGAGGACAGAGCTAAGCAGCACGCGACCCAAAGCTCACTGGGACCTGTCTCAGCCAGGTTTTGTCTCAGGTATTTTGTACATATTTATGACACTCCAGTACAGACCTGCATAGCCTCGCAGGGTGGAACAAGGGCTCTTGCACATGCTTTGCCCTCTCGGCTTATGCCATGCCAATACCAGCTCCCTGCACAGGTTGGCACAGCCCCGTGCCACTGCCATCCAAAAGGGTTCCTGTACAGCTGCCATGGCGACAGAGGGCACGGCCGTAAGCCTGCAGAGTGACACGGGGCATGCAGGGGCTGAGAGCAAATCCCAGCGTTTGCCCACGTGCTGCCCTATGACTTGCTGGGTATTTACACGGCCCAGGGGGTTGCTCTGGAAAGAAAGCCTTTATTTCAGCGCTGGCTAGCCCACTGACTCACTGCACAGGCCCTTGTCTGGGGAAAGCCAGCCTGCTGGGACGCACTTGTTGATGAGTTTTCACTTTTGCTGACTGGACTCCCCTAAAGGCGGTGGCTGAGAACGAAGCCTTTGGCACATGAAGCACCTCCTGAGGCAGGAGGCGAAGCATCTGGCTACATTGAGAGCAGCCGCATTGCGCTGGGTTTCACAGTGAAGGGCTTACAGCCAGCGTCCCACGCCAAGGAACCGCACGCCTGGGTATCTTCGGACGCTGGCTGCTGCACGAGCGCACCACGGCCTCGTGTGCTGCAGATGGCAGGACCACACAGCTCTTCGGTCCTCACCTCGCTGAACAGTCCTGGGTCTCCAAAGGGCTCTGATCCTGAGTTGCGGAACAACCTCTCTGTCCCCATTCACAAACCCCTCTGTGACCCTGCCCCGCCCTACAGTAGCAGCCCCAGCTGGGCCGGTGGATCCCCAGCAGCTATAAAGAGCTGTCAGGCAATGGAAATACAAATAACAACCGAGCACACAGGAGGAAACATGAATATCAAAAATCTTGCCCTAGGCGCAGTGCAGAGCTGGCAAGCTGCAATTCCCCTGCACAAGGGGAGGGTTCAAGTTCTTAGAGATACAAAGCTGGAAATGTCAGTTCCTTTTCATAAAAAACCCAAGCAACCAGCCAACCAAAAACCAACCCCAACCCCAACCCCACAAATTGTTGTAAACAAACAAGGTCAAAGGACAAATCTCCAAACAACGACAACCGAAAAATAAATGGACACGTCAGTATTTGTAATCAAAAGCTACTACATACTGTACTGAGGGAGTCTTCGGAGAACAGGGCATTGGCAACTAGTGAGGAGACCACCAAAAGTCTTGTGCATATGATATGTGTGAGACAATGATGCCACTGGAGGGGTGGATGGGCAGACCCCTGGAAAAAGAGTCACTCACTAAACAGGTCCGTGTCAAGAGAAAATAAGAGCTCTAAAAAGGATTGGTTTCCCATCCCCCACTCCCAATGGGTTCAAGGTTCCTTCTCGCCTTCAGGAAAAAAGACGCCTTCTCGTCTCCCTTTGTTTCTTTGCAGAAGCTGCCACTTTCCAGATGCACTTGGTCCTTTCCACGGCAAGAACTTCCCAGCCCTCTCTTCCCCTGGGATTTGCCAGCGGGGGGCTTTTAGGGACAACTGCTGACTGCAGAATGTCCCTGGAGCTGCCATCCCAAGGGAGAAAAGGAGGAGGCCTCCCATGTCTTCACTTGGCTTCCATCTCCGTGGCAGAGTCTCTTTGCTCCAGAGGTGTCTGAGCCTGAGGGAGCAGCCCTGTGCGAGGCGGAAAGGAAGGATCTGCTCTTTTATCTCCCTTTGCAGGCTCTCATGGATCTCAGAGCCCTTTTCGAAAATGCCATTGCTTTATTATTATTATTATTATTATTATTATTTTTAAAAATATTTCATAGTTTTTCCCAAAAGATTTGTCTTCCTTGTTCCCTTTTCCCATCGCTTAAATTCTAGAAGCTCTTGGCAACTTCTTGTCACTGTCGTTGGCTGTTTCCCCTGTTGCCACGATCCTTAGAGCAGCTGCCTGTCTCTGGTGAATGCAGAACACTCAAGAACTGGAGCTTGGACGTACAGGGGCAAAGAGGAGAAGGGCCTAGAGGAAGAGGAGTGTGAGGACGTGTGACCATCAAACCTCCACAGACTGGATCTGATTCATCTGGGCTCGCATCACTTGGATACTGTTCAGAATCTTCTTCTGATGTCCTGCTAACGTGACCCCCACTCGCAGAATGTCCCTTTAGAATAAAAACAAACACACCGTAAGGAGCCCTGTTCCTCCACCGACAAACTGCTCTGCTGGGCGAGCGGCACCCTTCCTCGGGGCACAGGAAGGGTTTCAGGGCTGCTTCTAGTAAACTAGCATGACAGATGTGACTGGGCTGGGCCTTTCACTCAGAGCCTCACTACTTTGCCAGTCTCCCTGTGTTTCCAGGCCTGCGCTGCCTCTTAGACAGCTGCAGTGTGCCCAAGGCAGGCGGTATCCAAGCTGCAGCATGCCCAAGGCAGGCTGTACCCAAGCTGCAGTGTGCCCAAAGCGGGCTGTACCCAACTTACAGCGTGCCCAAGGCGGGCCGTACCCAACTTACAGCGTGCCCAAGGCGGGCCGTACCCAACTTACAGCGTGCCCAAGGCGGGCCGTACCCAACTTACAGCGTGCCCAAGGCGGGCCGTACCCAACTTACAGCGTGCCCAAGGCGGGCCGTACCCAACTTACAGCGTGCCCAAGGCGGGCCGTACCCAACTTACAGCGTGCCCAAGGCGGGCCGTACCCAACTTACAGCGTGCCCAAGGCGGGCCGTACCCAACTTACAGCGTGCCCAAGGCGGGCCGTACCCAACTTACAGCGTGCCCAAGGCGGGCCGTACCCAACTTACAGCGTGCCCAAGGCGGGCCGTACCCAACTTACAGCGTGCCCAAGGCGGGCCGTACCCAACTTACAGCGTGCCCAAGGCGGGCCGTACCCAACTTACAGCGTGCCCAAGGCGGGCCGTACCCAACTTACAGCGTGCCCAAGGCGGGCCGTACCCAACTTACAGCGTGCCCAAGGCGGGCCGTACCCAACTTACAGCGTGCCCAAGGCGGGCCGTACCCAACTTACAGCGTGCCCAAGGCGGGCCGTACCCAACTTACAGCGTGCCCAAGGCGGGCCGTACCCAACTTACAGCGTGCCCAAGGCGGGCCGTACCCAACTTACAGCGTGCCCAAGGCGGGCCGTACCCAACTTACAGCGTGCCCAAGGCGGGCCGTACCCAACTTACAGCGTGCCCAAGGCGGGCCGTACCCAACTTACAGCGTGCCCAAGGCGGGCCGTACCCAACTTACAGCGTGCCCAAGGCGGGCCGTACCCAACTTACAGCGTGCCCAAGGCGGGCCGTACCCAACTTACAGCGTGCCCAAGGCGGGCCGTACCCAACTTACAGCGTGCCCAAGGCGGGCCGTACCCAACTTACAGCGTGCCCAAGGCGGGCCGTACCCAACTTACAGCGTGCCCAAGGCGGGCCGTACCCAACTTACAGCGTGCCCAAGGCGGGCCGTACCCAACTTACAGCGTGCCCAAGGCGGGCCGTACCCAACTTACAGCGTGCCCAAGGCGGGCCGTACCCAACTTACAGCGTGCCCAAGGCGGGCCGTACCCAACTTACAGCATGCCCAAGGCGGGCTGTATCCAACTTACAGCGTGTCCAAGGGGGGCTTTACTCAACTTACAGCGTGTCCAAGGTGGGCTGTGCCCAACCTGTGGTGAATTTGTGTGTGGGCACCAAGCACCTTCCCACCAGGACGGGGGCCAGTAGCTCATTTCACACAGTTGTTGCACAGCTGTTGGGCAGTAGCCACCTGTGCTCACGGCCAAGCTGCTGCATTTCCAGTGGGACGGGGGGCTCATGCCCCCGGCTAATCCTGAGTACTTCTGGCCAGGATTCCCATGGCCAGACCATTGGGGGTGGGTTACTATCAGAGGAGTCATGATTGTGAATTCTATCCTGGAGGCTGGAGGACGGGGCGGGCAATCATTTTTGACGGGGCCATTCTAAGATTTTGGAAAGTCATCGAGGGCTGCACCCTTCCATGCTATTAATGGAGGAGGTGCAGGATCCGGGATGGACGCTGGGGGAGGAGGGGGCTGGGAGGGAGTTTGGGTGAAGCGGGAGGTTGTGACCTAGGGCAGGGAGCTGGGTGTAGGTTTGGGATGTGACCTAGGGCAGGAGGGATTGTGATCTCTTGGGGGCAGGAGATTGGGGTGCCAGATCTGGGACGGGGGATGGGTGCATGTGGAGTAAGTGCAGGAGAGTCGTGCCAAGTGCAGAGAACCGCAGCGTGGCCACAGGCAGCCACATGTTAAAGCTGCTCTCTGAGAGCCGATGTGTGAGACTCCCAGAACAACGTGCCCCGGAGCCAGGACTCTCCAGACTCTCACGCAGCATCTTCTGCGCTCCCCTCCAGAAGGACATCTGGTCGCATGGCCCTTCCCTCCCTTCCTGCACAGATACTGGTGCTCAGACTTCCAGGTCCCTTGATGAGACCACACGATCCAACCCTCTGCTCGTAGACTCGGTCTCTGTTCTCCTGCTGGACTTTGGGGGGTGGGCAGACCCGCTCAGGGGACTTTCTGCTCCCTTTTCTGCTTTCCAGCGGGCGGGCTGAGGAGCTCTCACCTGCCCTGCGGTGTCACGGAGCCAAAGGGCAGACGGGCAGAGGGCTTTGCTAGTTCAGTCCTGATTACGAACAACGCTCCACAAAGAGAACGGAGCCAGTTTGTCTGATGGGCTGCCCTGGAGCCAGGGGCCGTGGAAGCCCAGTCTAGCAAATGGGCTGCTGATGACCCAGGAGGCCAACCTGGTGGGGAACAAGGCAGGTTTCAAAATCTGCCTGGGCTAAGTCAAAACTGACCCATCTCCATGGAGCGTTTCAGATTCCCGGGATCAGTGATGGCTCTGCACAGCCCAGGCATGGAGAAGGCTGCACTTGGGTCTGCTTTGCTGGGCACGCAGCAAACACCAGAGCGTTGGGGTCCCAGTGCTGACACTGTGCTCGCCTGCTTGGGCACCTGCGCTCCCCCTTGCCTGCACGGGCTTGCTCTGTGGCACTCGCTGCAGCCTGTCGGCTTCCTCAGCCCTCTCCAGCAGCGCAGGGAGCCGCTGCGGAGGCTCAGAACCGCCCGACGGATGTTCCCTGGCAAAACCCAACCCCCAAGGGCAAGGCTGCTTGGCTGAATGGGCTTCGGCTGAGCATCAGCTGCGAGCGCGCTCAGCCCCACCCACAAGCACTCCCGTACGGAGGGGCAGCTTCCCCACGGGGTGATGAATCCTGCTGTCTCCGGCAGGGCTCCCACGTTTCATGCCCCTAGCCACACATCGGTTCACAGGAGCACCGAGGCCCCAAGTACTCCCACGGGATTCCAGCAGCCTGCTTGCCTACAAGCCTCCTGCAGCTTTGTCACTGCTGGATGGGGTGGGTTGTCTGGAGCAAACTGGAGACCGTCCCGGCTCTCAGAACCCTTTTCTGGGAGCAAGTGCTTGTCAGAAATGAACCCACTGGGGCCGTGGCCCCCCGAGGTGCGTCTACACGGCGCCGTTCTTCCGAGAGAACTAACGCTACTCCAGAACAACAGAGCGAGCGTCTACGCAGCCACTCCGCTATTTCGAAACGATTTCAAAATAACGGGCGGCTTATTCTGAATCAGTAAGCCCCATTCCACGAGGAATACCACCTCTTCCGAATGAGCTATTTTGGAACAAGGCGTGGATGCTCCACCGCTGCTATTTCGAAATAGCCCCTCCCCAGGGCCATTGTAAGTTAATCTTCCCCAGAGCCTCCTGGGGCTCTCAAGCGAGGTAGCGCGTCTATTAGGGAGGCCTGTCTCGGACTCAGTTTGAGGCCTCCCTGCAGTGTAGACGTGCTATTTCGAAATAAGCTATTTTGGAGTAACTCTCCTGGCCCAGCTTATTTTGAAATAAGTGTGCAGTGAGGCGTTCCCAGAGCGTCCTCCAGTGGCAGAGGGACTGTCTTGTGTGCCCTGTTTGGCTTGTTCCGCCGTGGCATTGTTATGGTAACTGTGAGTTAGGAAGAAGCCCTGCTTAGCCAGAAGGAGAAAACCAACCAGACAGCATGGGGATGGCTGACGCAGAACACCCTGGATAGACAGGGACGCAGGTGGCGCACTGAAGAGGTTACGCAGGAACGGCAAAGGTTAGAAATGGCTGGGGAGGGTCTTTTCTTTTTCTGGCAGAATGATGAGCTTCATATAAAGCTCAGAGCCCCCAAACCCGAGAATGGCCAATTCTGCAAGATCCCTTAGCTCACTGCTTCTGTTCGGTGACTGCAACTTACTCCATGGTCATCTGTGACACCGCGTCAAAGCTGGCAAAGCCGGCACTGGCAAAGCTCTCCTTGTACTGGCCCATCTTGATGGCATCCAGCCATTCATCCACCGTGTTGAAACTGGTGTAATCTGGGATTGTGCGGTCCAGTAAGGGGAGGTTAATCCTGAAATGGAGACGGAAAAGGAGTGGAAATTAGTGGCAGCCTGTGAAGGCCTTTCTTTACCCTTCGTTGGCATGGAAGGTGGGACAAATCCTCGAATGCCCCTGGAGCAAGTTCATTCGCTCTGTCCCTGTGTGGATGCCTTCAGCCACGTGTGGGCCAGCAGTACGGAGCGCGCGGGCAGTTCCTTTTCCCTCTCCCAGTGATACGTTTAGCAGCTCAAATCTAGGTTGGTGGGGGGAGCATAAATGCTTCACAATGGCTCTTTGGTCTAGCAGAGCAAGGTCTAACATAACGGGACACGATGGCTGGAAACTGAAACGAGACAAATTCAGACTGGACAGACGGTGTCCCAGGGAGAGGAATTAACCCCTCGCTGGGACAATTTACAAAGGATTATGGTGATTCTTCATCGCTGGCCATTTTAAAATCCACACTGGATGTTCTACATCATCACAATGGCTCTTTGGTCTAGCAGAGCAAGGTCTAACATAACGGGACACGATGGCTGGAAACTGAAACGAGACAAATTCAGACTGGACAGACGGTGTCCCAGGGAGAGGAATTAACCCCTCGCTGGGACAATTTACAAAGGATTATGGTGATTCTTCATCGCTGGCCATTTTAAAATCCACACTGGATGTTCTACATCAGTG